TGTTAAATAAAGAATAGAATTTAGTGCCACTTGACTGAATGATCATTTTTACCGATTAATGTATCAGCAGTGTTCAACAAGTTTCGAATCATATAGGAATCACTAACAAAAATATATCGAGAAATTCCTTCTCAATAGGTTCAACAATTTCATGCACCTGTTCAGGAATTAATCGAAAAAAATAAAAAGTTATTGTGACTCTGACGAAAACTTGCTGTTGTTATTCAGTTTAAACAATATCTGTTATCAAATAACAGCTGGATTAGCGCTAGAATTTTCTGAAAACAAAAAAAAAGAGCAAAAACAGAAGGAAAAACGTTTATTTAACTTTGACAAGCACAAAAAAAAATTTATTGTGTTAGTATGCAATATCAATGAGTAAGCTTTTTATAATAAATCAGCATTCAATTTGCCAGTGAAGATGACAGTTTTCACTTTGCTTCTTCAATTCTTTTTCTCCAAAATTAGAGCAATCACTATTAACAGCTGCTATGTCGTTAATATTATATTTAAAGCTATGCACTTTTACTTTATATAAGTTTATACTTATCCGTACAAACATTTAATTGAAAGATTTTTTCTCAGTTTCTTTCGAAAACTAGTAATAATGAAATACGTGTACATAAGCCTCATATAGTTCTATCAGTTTACCCCCTCTTTATAGGCAACGCAGCTTAATGGCAGGCATTCTTAGTGAACTGCAAAACATAACAATCAGGTGGAAAAAACTGTTTTGTCATTTCAGATAACCAAATTTAATCACAACAAAAATTTAAAAGATCAATAATTTATAAATAAATAAATAAATAAACTTGAACAGTACAATCTCTTCATTTTTACCAAAAATTGATTGATTTTACTTTGCTACTCCGAAAGCGTGTATATTTTAAGAAGATAATTGAGAATATCTCACAGTGTTTTATATAGTTGTAGAAACGAAAAAACTAGAAAAAAACAAAACAGGATAAAAAAAAAAGTTGTCAGAAATAAAGGAGAGAAGATAACACCTGAAATACTGCAAAAAAAAAAGACGAAAGACAGTTTACATAAGAAAAAAAATATTTTAAAAGTAGCTGATGCTTCAGAATTTGTGTTTAGATGACCATCCAACTCATTAATTTTTTCTGCTAATTTTTAACAGTTTCTGATAACCCTTCAAAAATTGTAACATTAAAAAAGAGAAGATTTAAGAGACCGATTTTTTGTTACCACTCACCACTGATGTAGAAAACATGCTTCACTTAACAAATATTTGTCATAATTTTAAGTAAAAAAAAAATTTGTGTAAATTTGACAGTTTCGTACTGTATCATTTGAAAGAGCATTTGAAATTTTAACATTTAAAAATTTCATTTTTAATTATTCATTCGTTTGCATTTTCTGTTACTTCTGTAATCATTTTCAAACTCCAACAATCAAAACTCTACAGCATTTTCTCTAAAAAAGTTTTCTTGTCAGTAATCTTCGACAGTGACTGGAAAACGTTAACAAATTTGCACACATGAAAATAAATCTTGTGTAATTTTAATTTAAAATACAGATTTATTCTATAGAGCAACGAAAAATTATGTTCGTTCACAACAATTACAGGCTTCTGCAGCACAGAATGATCACCAGTTCTACGCTTGTGATTAAACTTCTAACTTTTACACATTCTCTCAAAGTAATAAGTAAAAAGCATTAAATGACAATTCCTAGTTTTCAAGTGTTTCAAATGCAGAGTTAAAGCAATGTTAAATATTTCCAATTTTCAGGTACCACCTCCTTCGCAAATAGAAAAGAAACAAAAATCAAAAATAAGTTTAGGCAGTGTGTGGAACTATACAGTGCTGGTCAGCTGAACTATATGAAAATGATCTAAAAAAATATAGGATGTAATTTGTTGCCGTTATATTATTCATTAAGTTCTGAAAAATATTTCGTCGAGCAGTTCCAAAAACCCTGTAAATGCAAGAAGAAGGTGATAATTTGACAGATGGAAGCACATGACTAATTAAATTTTTTTTTAAAAGCTTAAGTAAAATCTACAGAAAATTGCAATTGCAAAAGATCTACAAATAAATAAAACATTCAAGAAGTTTTGCTAACCTTACAAAGTTTTGCTATAAACATATTTTTCTTCTTTGCTTACCTGCTATTCTAACATTTTTTTTCAAAAGTAATTTTGATATTGTTAATTTCGAAAAAAATTATACTGGTATATGGTTTTTTTTCAAGGGTACCATTTATCAGCTTTGCAAAATAATGTCGTTTTGTTTTCTGTGCTTCGTAGCTGTAAATGCAAAAAACTGTACCAGCGAACTGAGTCAAAAAATAAAATAAGATAAAAAGTAAAATAAATGGTTTTTTAAACAACTTTAACAAATTTTTCTGCTCATAAATACATCTGCGAATGTAGTCTTAAATAAATTGTTTGGTTAGCATCTGATGCTTACTGACTGTCGTACTTTAAAAATAATACAGTCAATTTGATTGCTTTTTTTTGTAATTTTATCAGTTTTTTATCAATCATACTTTTTAATTTTTTCCGAGCGAACAACAACATACAAGTTTTTTATTTTTCTCTATTCTGTTCTATTATCTAGGAAAATTTTTTTCATCTTTTCTGAAAAAAAAAAAGCATTGTAAAAAAATCTTCTGTTACTTTGTTAAATTATATATTCACCTTTTAGTTATTTTTATAGGTTATTTGAGAAATACACATAAGTAAAAAATCGACGAAATAAAAACAGTTCAAATATTATAACGAAACTACAGCCGCATGATAAAGCGTTAATTTACAAGTTTTGACGTTTGAACCTTTCTTTTCGAATAAAAAACTCAAAAGAAGAACTTTTGAAACTTTTCGGTTTGCTTTCTCCTCCAGTTTCACCTTTGTTTCATTTTTCTCACTCTCAAGTTTTTTATATAGAACAACAGAGTGCAACATTTTAATGATTTTTCTCCAACTGCAGAAATAAAAGTAATATTGATGTAAACAATTGAAAAACCACAAAAATTTCTGACAGTTTCTTTTAGAAGAAACGTTTTTTGTAAATATAATTGGTAAAGTTTTGCAAAAATAAATAGACTTTTGAAAACTGATTAACAACCAGAAAATATAGTAGTTGCTAATGATAATCAAAAAAAAAATTTTTTTATTGCATTACTTCAGAACTTGAGATTTTGCATCAAAAAAGTGGTTGTCACGTCGTTGATATAAAATACTAGAGCGCATTCAAAAAAACAATAAAAGTTACTAAACTGCAATAGTTGAGATGCTGCTATTTGTCTGGCACTGTTTTGCTGTTTTTAAAAACTTGGCTTATCCTCTAACCTTACGGCAGCACTCTTCAAAGAAAAGTAAAAATAATTTTTGGAAACGTCTTTTGTGATTATGCACAAAGTTGCCGTGCAGAAAATATTCATGAAAAGCCTTATTTCTCAAGCAAATCAATCTCTTTTGCTGAGCTTATACCCAATATCGTCATACGCCCTTTCCCTTAGCTTAATTAACTCGTAAAATTTTTGTATCATTATATTAACGTTCCAGCCTGATTTACTGACTTCACCTCTTCGAGTTTCAGTCTGATATTTGGTGAAAGCTTATTCTCGAGGTGAATTGCTACGTTGAGATGCTTAACGTCTTTCCGTAAGCAGTCAGTTGAGTGCAAATCTTATCAATCATTTCGATCGACGGTTGTTCGTAGGTCACTCAAATGGGATCCGGCACAGCGAATGTCATTTAATTGTTGACAGAGTGCCGACTTAATCAGTTTCTTATCATTAAACCTTTTTTTTAAAATTCCAATCGCGTTTTCGTAGTTAGCACTTGTAATCGCCATTCCAGCTACTGCAGCATAGGCGCTTTCTTGTAGACAGCTCAATAAATAGGTAGACTTCTGTACCGTTGGAATGTTCACTGCAACAATTGCTGAAAAGAAGAGCTTCCCGAATTCCATCCGTCTTTTTGGGTCTCCGTTGTAAGTAGGCAGGCTTTATTAGGGCAGTTTAATCCTTGAGGGTTGCTGCCCAATGCTGACGGTTATTCGGGTTTCTTCCCTGGTTTTCACGGCACATTTTTTCATTCGCACATTTATGATTCCTAATAAGATTTTTGCTTTCTGTAAAGTATTCACAAAATTATAAGCATCTTCTTCTCGTTCATATTCGTTGTATAATTTTCGTTTCCTTTCCGCTTCAGGAAGTAACGACCCTCTTATCAATTTACACCGTTCCAGATTGATGTGCTGCAATTGTTGTATGGCCTCCTCCGAATACCTTTTTTCGCGATTAATGGCTGGCACTCTTCTTTACTTCCTGCCGTAGTGGTTTCCTCGTCTACGGTCAAAGGTAGTTACGTAGACGCTTATTTAAATGCCTAATGGATTTACGAATCTTGATTGACATGAATCAGAACACCTATTACCGAATAAAATAGCAGAGACGTCGTTCGACGTGGGATCTGAAGAGACACTACTACAAAAGTGCACCTTCCCGGCTCCTGGCAACAATAAATTAAGGTCTGTAGTAGACCTTTTAATCTCTACAGTAACTTGATTTCAGTTGACTTATAGTTCAACAAACTTCTTACTACTGTCAATTCCTGCTTATCAAAATACCGTCATACACTTACTCTAGAAAGCTCTTTTACGTCGAGCTCTTAGAACTTAAGTTATTATTTGAACGTTATGATATAGACTGAATTAAGTTAGGCGTGGACGGAAAGATGGTAGAGACAGTAAGTTCATTTTATAACAGGAAATATTCACACTTTAACTAACAAACTTCTGAATTCAGTTCAACAGGACAAAAAAAGCTCCATTCAATGTGAAGTTAACCCGAAAATCAAGACTTCACTACAACTAATTCCTGCCAGCAATTAACGAAATTAGGAGCGAGCTAAGAAAGGGAACAATAAGACCAATCAGAAGAGATATTCAGGAAATAGCAGAACGATGGACGGCACCTGTTCAACTTCCGCGTGAGATGTTTTTTATAGTTTCTCAAATCAAGAGAAATTATACTGCGTTAGTGCTAGACGTAGATGACGAACGTAATGATGAGTACTTAAAATCGGTACTAGTGATTATGCAGTTATTGGGGAAAGAAGATCCTGGTCCTTTCAAGTCCGCCAAGATCTCACTCCACTTCTTATTCTCATCTTTGATAACTTTTACCGATACTTCAATACGCTTCTTGAACAACATTAAATTTTTTCTTCTATGATTTGAATCTTCATCTGGCGCGGCTTCCCAACTTTGGAACTTCTCTAACTGTTCTCGTAGACTCTCCACCCAAACCTCGATACATGCTTGGACCGGTTCCGACATTCTTATTCGTTCACCTCCAAGTCTTCTACTTTCCTAGGTTATTACTCAACTCCTCTGGTAACTCCTAGGACTACTTTGATTGGGTTTCTACCGAGAACCTCAGGGTGTAGATCCCTAAGTCGCTGCTCTTCGATCCCTCTCTTTGGACCACAAGAGAAAATGCTGTCGTGGCTAAACCGACAATTTCTTAAGTTGAGGCACTACCAGTACAGTAGTCCGCCGTACACACCCTACGTGGGTCTTTCTCGTAATACACTCGATTGACTGTGGCCGTAATTAGCCATTTACGAATCACAACTACCAACCAATACGAACTTAACTTAATGAACTGTATTCCTTATTAGAGATCTTTGACTTCTTTGTTCCAATCTTCTAAACTTCTATGCTTTACGTATCCTTTCGGGCAAGATCTTCTCATGTTAGAGCCTTGTCTTACTCTTGATTCTTTTATTCTAACTTTACCCTTATATTTTG